GGTCGGAGAGGGTGCAGAGAGGGGGCAGAGAGAGTATAAAACTATGGAAACAAGATAACTTAACCGTTGGAGAGAGGGAGGTGCAACATAAAACCAAGGTAAGGAGCAACTTAGGGGTTAGAAGTCCTTTTACACCTCCATATTTTTTCTCCTTAAAATCCTTATTAACTAGCAAGGATAAAAAGTTAACAATAGGTAAAAACAAATACTAAAACTATACCAATATAAGAATAATAGGACAAAAGGATGAAACCGGGTTGTCCCTTCTGTAAGTCTTTGGAAGTTTCTATAAGTGACTATATGGGTCTTCGTTCGATAGTCTTTGATCTTCTGGTCACTTAAGCCTTTACTTTTGAGTAGGATTACTGTAACGTAAAGTTAAGAGTGTGACTTGTATGTGACTCTATGGTCCTGGAAGGTAAATTGTGAGTAATGTCTATGAGAGCTGGGTGGAACGAAGTTAACCCCTTCACGATCTCAAAGCAGGGAAGGGAGAGGTAGTTGGACTGGCAGCCGTATGATATCAGCTCTGATCCTGTTTCTGTTACAGCTGCATATGCTAACAATGCCACCCGGTAAGGTTTGTAGTGTTACAAAATGTTTCACGTGCTGCTTTAAAACAGTCCTTTTCGTGATATTCGTCGAAAACTTTGATACCTATTAGACCTTTTTTATAACCATATTGGTTATCAAAATCGATTTATTATATTGTGTTTGTGGTCTCATCTTATTGCATCGACTTTCCAAGTCACAAGTCGCTATCTCTCAAGTGTGAGCTCAGTTGTTTAGAAATAATCTTACAGTATCAAAATTGACTGAAAATAAAAATACTTTATTTCATGCCTCGGTTGTTCGGGGGGAGTGGCACAGTTTGATAGCAATATGATAGGAGGAATAGCTGTTGTACAAACATGACATCATCAGTTAACTGGTTCAGAGCTGGTTCAGAGCAATCATTTGTGTAGAAATAATCTTACAGTATAAAAATACTTTATTTCGTGCCTGTCGCAAAACTAGATAGTTAGGGGTTTTATTTTAATGGAATTTAAAGTGCGCTTTAAATTGTATGTCTTTAAAACTGTCCCATACCCGATGACACTGTTCCCAGTATTGTCAAATATATTAAAGTTTACGCCAGGTTCCATCCTTAAATTGTAATAAAAACCCCCTGAAGTTGGAGGAATTTGTTGACTGATTGAAAAAGTGACATGACATTGCGATTCACTTGACAGAATCTCTCTAAAACACTATTTTTAATGCCAATTTTCGCTGAGATCCAGAAAATGATAATCTATACGGAATATTGATTGATTTCAGTTTAACGCTAAAGTTTACGGGTCCCAGGGTCTTTAACCTCTTATGGAGGCGTGGTGACAAATCATTATAAATTTACTAACGCAAAATCCTGAACAACTGTTTACTGTTGACATAAAATTTGGCTTGATTGGCGAATGACGGAAATATTATGACTTAGAAGTTAGAAGTTCGCGAAAATTTAATGAAACTCAACATGAGTTTCACACTTGTTCGATCGCTTTACAAATTTCTAAGAATTACTTTATTTTGATTTCTACGCTCAAACTATCTGAATGTGAGTTGTAATTCATCAATAATATTGTCTCCCACCAAAGTTATGGCAGGTTGAAAGACATTAAATGTTTAATTATATTACGTATAAGAATTTAAATCACTACTCCTCGAGAAGAATAATTTGTTTAAACTTCAATCCCAAATTGGTCGCTGGCCTTAGTACTTGCCCGTTACAGCGTAACTATGTAGCCATGGTTGTCCGAAGTAAAGTATAAGGGTGGTCATTTCAGTTGATGGCCCTGCTGCAGCGCAGCTAAAACAGCAAATAAATAAATAAATCAATTATATACTTTGTTTAAAGTTAATTTGGGATTTACTTTTGGTTAAACAAGGGCGTTCTTCAAATGAAAGTAGTTGTCACGCCACGACATTTGCCTTCATTCTCTGAAGCTTTAATTAGTCATTTTATGGTAGTTTAAAAGTATTTTATTAATTAAATTTACTTCCAGCTATCTAAGATCATGAGACTCAATAACTGCGCACGACTGCACCTAGCACCTAGACGTAGAATTAACCTGAACCAGACAGTAGTTAGAAGATTTCTACCATTTTTAGATTTTATAATTTTATTTTATGAAGTCCATCAAAAATAAAACGCTGAAATTGATATACTTTATCAAAGTTCATGTTGTCAGATATTCCATGTTCTAAATACAGTCAGTAAAATATGCGAAAGTTGAACGTGACTACAGGAACTGAAACTTGTTCACGGGATTGCGTTATGCATTTAGATATTATATTTCAACGTTGCCATAAATTACTGGCTTAAATAAATGTTTTTTGAGGAGTTAAACAACATTGGGTAGATTTTACCCTCATCTTTCAGAAAACATCATCAAATGAATCTTCGTGACTCACTGTTACAAAATTAGACACTATCACTTCACCATTTCTTCAGATCAAACCAGCTTTTCGTGTAGCTTAGTCAATCATTCCTCCTGTGATGACTAGCTTGCTTTACTGATTGCTTTATCTGTATGCTCTCTTCCATATATGTCCCGGTGACCTGGTACCAAATTCTGATTGGAAATAAATGTTTAGTCCACTTTAGTCTGCTTAAAGAGTTGTATACGTCTTCCTGATCCAGCATCACATTTCTGTGACAAATCTTGTGACATGAAGAAACTGAGGTGTTGTAGCAAAATTGTAAGCGAAATTGTAAGAATGTCGGCCAGGTTTATTTTTCAGAATTGTAAGCAAATGTCGCCCCAGTGGCAACATTATCGCCTCAAATGCAGAAGGTTCGAATTTGGTCTTAAGCACTATTTTTCATTCGAACTGTAACGATGTTGTGCAGAAATCTAATTACTCATATTTGATCCATGTCGGTAAATTGCTTGCCTAATGTCTGAACTATGAAAGTTTATCTGTTCAATAATTTGGTAGCCGAAACATTTTTATCAGCACCAAAATCTCCTTAAAGTGCAGGTGAAATTGTAACATTTGCGCACGGACCTAACTTATGCGCCATTTTGTATCTGAACTGGCCACTGGGGCGTAAACTGAGGAGGTGTTCTAGCAAAATTGTAAACGAAATTGTAAAAATGTCGCTTTATGTCGCGCGAGGTTTATTTCTCAGAATTGTAAAAATGTCGCTATTATTTGAATCCATAAATAACGAAAAGTTACGTGCGTGCGCGTATTTTTATGAACGGTAAATTGTTACATATTGTAAATCTGCTGAGCCATTCGTAGCTCGGCGGTTAAGTCGCCGATTCCAAGAAGCATACCCCGGATCGATCCTCGGCGGAGGTCATTTTTTTGGCATTTATTAATTGCTTTACTACAATTATCAGCAGAGCACCTTAGTAATACACTTCATCAGATAAATTATACTGTTCGAACTTCAGCTAGAGAAGGATTGCCTTCAAGGATTTGTCCGGGGAAGGCCTCGTTCACACTGGAACATGTCAAATGGTAAACGGAGTTATCTGGTAATGTTTGTTTTGTTTATGGCTAGAATTTAGAATGGAATCAATGTGATCAGGATCCAGAGTTAATTACCTGCTAGGATTAATAAGTCACTTTCTACAGTTGAAGAGGTCACTTTTTCAAACTTTAAATGAAGAAATTGGCTCGGAAGTCGGAACTTCATTCCTTATAGATTCATCACTTTCAGTTAATAACGACGGTGTACCATGAAACCAGTTAAATAACTGTATAGAAAGACCAATCCACCGGAAATAAATGAACCAGATTTCACAGAACTATATACCGACTCAATAAAATTAAAACCATTTGATAAGGTTTGAGTCGAACTTTTTTGTGTCTGCTAAAATATATACAAGGAATACAAGGAATAAAGGAATATAAATTTCAAATCTCAAGTTACATTGCAACAGCAACTGACTAGCATCGATAGCCTGAACCCAGACACACAGGATATCAGGAAAACTCTGGAATCACTCCATGGGACGACGTACCTGCACTGGATTCCCGGCCACTCCAACATTCCTGGGAACGAATACGCTGACCAAGCAGCAAAGGAAGCAGCACAACTCCCGGACCTGGGCCAAGGACAGTCTACAATCTCATACGGAGTAGCCAGAGCAGTAGCGAAGGCTCACATCAAGGATAGCGACCCCCAACACCACCTGGTCTCCCAGACTTACAAGGGATACAACAGAAAAAGAGCGGACAGTAAAATAGAGAGCAGGAAAGACGGAGCGCTGCTAGCACAATACAACTCAGAGCAGGCCATTGCCTTCACCTGTCCCACTACAAAAATAGGATCGACTCTACAAAGAGTGCAACTTGCCCCCGTTGCGGAGAAGAAGAAGAAACAGTACCACACTGGATTCGGTGCCCTGCAACGATCAGGACGAGAGAAAAAATCTTTGGAAAATCTGACTTAAACTTAGACATACTAACCACCAACCCGATAGAAATCCTGGCGTTTGCTAAGAAGACCTTGCTTGAGGGACCCTTAGACGCCTAGCCCATCACCACCACCACCACAGCAACTGTCAAGATAATAAAAATAATAATAAAATAACTCGCCCCTGTCCATAATAATAATCGACATCTTGATTGACTTCACTACTCCAGACAGTATTGATTATCTATGTAAACTCGCGCACGCACCTACCTTTTTGCAATATTTAGAATCAAATTTGTCCGCATAATCATAGTTTTGAAAAGCGACATTTTTACAGTTTTGAGAAGAAAACATCTACTGCGTAAACTTCAACGTACCTCTGAAATGGAACGCGCGTTAAAGTATTTTCATAGCAATTCAAAATGTCACATTTAGTTCGACATTTTATGGTCGATCGCGCGCACTCAATTCTACCAGAAAACGCGTCTAAAATCGGACCTAACAATTTAAAGTTCTAATTTCATACTTAATTACTTGTACGGTATCCTGAGGTATATTGGATTTTCGTTGCTAACGAAGTACTGAATTTCAGAGGAAGGTACACCGGAAAGGTGCGGAGAAACCAGCATGGCAGACAAACAGAATGAAACAAATCTGAAGAAACTGATATCACAAAGCTCAATTCACACGATGGACTTTCCCACTGTCACGAGAACCACAACTAATTCTGAGGTTAACATCTGGGGAGGAGATTTTATTGACGGTTACACGTTCTGGTATCAGTTCTGAGTTTTTAACTCTTGCAAACAGTTGTTTACATTAACAGCTGTTTTATTATTTATTTACGAAGTTACCGTTCTTTTTAGAGACTGGAGGACCCTCAAGATTCACCAATCCAGAAAGAGAAATTATTTATGCCGGGTATAACCTCCCCCCTTACATTCCTGCCTCCCTCACCCTGCTCAACCTCGGTACAGATTACAAAATCACTTTCAATTAACTACTAATTAAGTTCTACTAATTAGTAATCACTATAAATTGAATACTAATTTCCTTTATTTTTATTGATGATTCATTAAGCATCCTTCATCTGAAGTTAAACTCTTAAAAAAGTTTTTTTCGGAAAATTCTTGCCAAAATTCACATCAGTTTTCAGTATTTTCAGTTATCCGAAATTTCCTTTTAATTTGTAATGATCCTGTTTTCAGTTCCCCCTTGGAACTGACTTCCTGTGCAATCCTACCTCTCTTCTTGCAACTAAAATGGAACCTAACTTGGAAGATAAACTATTTCACAAGGATAGTTTACAGGACGTTGTTAAAGCCCTCAGTGCCTCCCGACCTTCGGTTTCTTCCGCCTGGCCATGTACGGGTAACACTTTCGCTTTCACTTTCAGTTTCGTTGTGCTTTCATTTTGTCATTGTTTTTAATGTTTCCGTCCCAAATTCTAAACTTTAGTAAGAATAAGCCAAGACATAGTAGGCGAATTGCTTTAATAGTTTTCCTAACACAGCCACACTTTCACTTTCTCCTTCACTTCCCAGCGAGCATAACTTCTCTTATTTCAGCAGCTAGTGTACTGTTAGGTCAGTCCCAGTTAAAACAGATCAACAGACAACACAAACTGAAGAACTGCCCAGTGTGTAGGAAGGTCCTTGTAGCATCCTCCCTCTATTTACACATGAAAGTAGGTTGTCATGGTTGACTTAGTTGGTTATTGTGGCCCTGTTTTATGCTTTGTAATGGACCGTTCACATATTACGTCAGGACTCAGGAACGTCGGCAAATTCCATCCGCCTATAGTGCTGACGTTGTATGCGAAAGATCCGTAGCCGTTGTGAATAGTTAGTTGACTAATCACAATAATGCAGCAGGTTCAAGCATTCTTTATAGCACCAGAGTTTCAGGAATTGAAGCAATATTTACATGATTTATTCAATTTGATGCATGAATAAGCACTTTTTGTTCTATTCCCCAATTTCGCAGATTCACTCCGGCGAGAAGAACTATAAGTGTGAATTTTGTTGTAAAAAGTTTCTGTTGAAGCACCACCTTCACTCTCATCTTAAAATCTGTCCTAATAGACGGCCGAAGGTACTTCAAGGTACATTTATTAGATTAGGTACATTTATTAGATTAGGTACATTTATTAGATTATGTACATTAACATTTATTAGATTTGGTACATTTATTAGACACGCTGCGTCTTCTGTAGCACGTGTGAGGTAATATATTTTATCTAGCTTTAAAAAAATACGCATTGCACGTTTTTAGAATGTTGTGTATTGAGTTAATAGCATTCATTTTAATTTCTAAACTCGATATAACATACTATTTAAAAACATACTATTAAAAAATGCCCAATTTTAAAGCACAATTAAATGGTTTTCTGATTTTGATCGTGTCATTTTACTAAAATTTAAAACGTTCAGGGACCGACAGGCCTAGAGATAAATCAGACTTCCTTTGATTGACCGATGCTAATGACCGATGCTGGTGGTTGTTTAAGACAGTTTAAATAACCAGCATTGATGGAGTCAGATGGTGAATCAGGCAGAGCAGAGTATCAAAGGCATCAGAAATTATATGAAAACAAAAGGGAGAATTGTAGCTAAAAAAATTGGAACTTAGTGATAACAATACAATAACAGGAATAATGGGGAACTTGGTAATCCGTTCGTGTTTCGTTAAATGACCCTTATATTATGATCCTTAAGTTTTGTGCGTTAACCGCATCTGAGTGACCATTGTACATTAAAACTAATTTTAAGCGACCATCGACGGAATACCAAGTTGCCCAATAACTTTATCAAGGCCAGAGCTTACTTCTGATGAAGATTACAAGTGAATGAGCTAGTAATTGATATGTAGTTTATTATCAGCGTTTTAAGCTTTGAAAATAAATGTTTTAGTGTTGCTTATCGCTTTGTTGTATTTTATGTACAGAACACATGTTTTTAACGTTTCATAATCGTCTATAACTATTAACTATTGACATTGTATTTAGCTGTTTACCAAATTTTAATACTTTCAGAAGTTGTTTATCTTTTTGTTCGAAGTAACAATGTCAGATAAACAGGAGGATCCGAGAAAATATGTATTTAACAGAAGATAATTTCTGTAAATCGGGCTAAACTGCATGTCAGGAATTTTACTGGAAGCACGCAATTATGTGTTCAATTCAGAGCGAAGAGATGAATTCAGGGTTCTTTCTAAAACACGAAATTGTATAAAATCTAATTTACAGAAACTCGGAGTATGTACAAAAGTTCTTAGGTTCGGACATAACAATCATAATTGCTTTTGGCTCTTTCAACTTGAACAGAAGAGGTATCAACTATCAATATCCTGTATACCAGGTTTGTAATTGCTTTATTAAGAAAATGAGTTTGTCAATAAAGAACCGGTAGTTCATTAAACTGAACGACCAAAATTTGACTGCTTTTCATCACACATATTTCTTGTCCCTTTGACCGACAATCTCACATCAATTTTACATCTGAAAAGTTTACAGTTCACACCACTTCACTAAATTTACTCGGCGGCTTTCTTTTTCTTGCTCATCTTCATTTTCTTGCTGCACAACTTCTTCCAGTTCTCGGCGTCTGCTCGATCCTGCTTGGTAACGGAGCTGAAGTCTAGTTGTTTGAGGGAAGGTAGTGTACCCAACACGAACTGTCGGTATCCGTCCAGGGCTTCAAGAGGATTTCCTGGAAAATTTAATGTAATCAGAACAAAGTGAAAGTGTATCCATTCTGCTTCGCCAGAAGTTACTTTTATGCCCAGAGAGTCAAAGATAAAGTATGCAAACATCTGTGGTTAAAAGAAAGGTTTTCGGTTTCCGGTTTTGCACAGTAGGGTGTCATAATCATTTCATATTTCAAAGGTTGGATAATAGTAAAAGATCCCAGTAACTCGAAAGTTCATTGGCGACCAGAATGATGAGCGATACTATATATTCTAATGATTAGTTAACATACCATGAAGAGTTAAGGTACGAAGGCCTGGTAAACCAGATAACCTTTTGACCTCATTGAGCGACATGAGCTGGTTACCATGGAGATAGAGAGTCGTGATTTTGGGAAATTGCAGCAGCGCCTGAGGGAGCTTATGGTTAATAATTGAGTTTAACAGAGAATTCGAGAGATGAAATTTATCATAGACTTATGATGATTGATGGGCTATATTTTTTATCGGCTGCTACCCCTGGAAGCAACGTGGGCGATATCAAAACAAATCACGGGAATCGCCTATGCGCGCGTTGCACTGAGAGTTAGAGGCAATAACTTTAATCAAAAGTTTCTTTTCGCGTGTTCCAAAATCTAATGCCTAGCTTTGGTACCGTTTAAAGAATGTGAGATCGTGAACTTTTTGATAGCATTTATGATAAAACTAACTTAGGTTTTAACTAAAGATTGGTAAAAGTTTATATGTGGATTGAAACTAACGAATTGTGTTGGAATTCTGAGATACTGAAAACATATTTTTATGATTTATGAACAGTGACAGTACAAACAATATCAAACTTTGTTGTCAGTACATTTTTAAATAACACTGTCTGTAAAATATTGCATCGATACAAGAAATGATGTTGATTGAAATTCTATTCGTGAAAATAACCACCATCAAAAGGAATTTCTGATAATCTGAATGGACAAGTTAATAGAGATATATCTACTAACATCATCTAGCGCGTTGATGTCGTTGAAAGAGAAATCTAGCCAGCTGATAGCCGCAGGGTTAACCACCAGGGAGGTTATGGAGGGAACCAGGTCTCCCAAGTCGTGTATTGAGTTGTTGTTGTACCTCACTGCTGTCACTATGTCGGTGTAACCTTCCTGTAATTCAGTATCCTGGTCCTTTTGTATTAAAGTGTTCGGTAGAGTATCACTTGCTTTTTTTTGTGGAAGGTGAAATAATGAAAATCTTTGCACTTTTATCAAACTTTGGATCTTAAAAATGGCTAAATTGATATTTTTTAGGCCTGCATCTCCCATATCTGTCATTAACCGTCAGTACTCACCTAGTTTTCCGACCAATAAAACATTTCAGACCAATTTCATGTCATGACTCTCTAAACTCTCTAAACATGACTCTCCGAACTTATTTAAAGCAAGCCAAAAACAGTGCGTGAGTCGTGACCATTAACCAATATTTTACTAAATCTCAAATACTTCATTTTTTTCTGCACGGTGCTGTGTTATAGCAAGGAGATGTGGATTATGACATGCACTGCAATTGTGCTGCTGCAAGCGAGTTGAGGATTAGTGTTGCGATAATGTACATTTCATTTGATTCATGGAGATATCTAATTTACTGGAAGTGTGTAGATAAGATTTGAAGCTCTTTTTCATCCTTGTGTGGTGAATGGTCAATAATTTAAAATCAGCAGAAAGCCCTTTCATTTGGATCCCTTCTAGATATTATGAGCAGCTTACCTTTAACTTTGTTCCTTTTCTGGGTTCCTCTTCCAATGAATCTGATGAAATGAGATTGGTTAAAGAAAATGTGTTCTTAAAATCAATCTAATTTGTCAAAAGCACATACCAAAACAATTGAGGAACTTTACTAGAAGCATTAGCTCAATTTGGAATCCAATATAAAATTACAAAAAGTTATAAATAATCAGTAATCACCTGTGAGCGTGGCAAGATTTTTGAAGGAGAAATCGAGAGGTGGCGCCATATTGTTCAACGTTTTGACAGACATCTTGCTAAATAATCGGTGTTTCTGTATGAGTTAAACATTGAAAAATACACACATTAAAAAGTTGAATAGTTGTATTGAGAACGGAATCTATAAGTTCTCTATGTAGTACCATACCTAATACCTATTGATAATTATACTATTACTATTGAGATGTATATGTACTTTTGCTTCGTAACAATCACGTGCCACATTGGATTCATGAATTATAATATGACACGTACATCTCTCTGCTTCATTTTCTGAATTGCGAACTTAACTCAATTTCTGTTTTTAGAGTTTTCATGTATTAAAACTGAACAGTTGACACCCAATTCAAGTCCTTTTTTTAGCAATATTATGGTCGGTATTCGGAGAAGAGCTAAAAAAGATGTCCTGATTCTGTTCCTCTGCGGTATACTTTTCTTGTCTCATTTTATTTCCAGTTTGTTTTCATACTTTTCAACCGCAAGTCAACATGCCGCACAGTCACAGTTCAACACCACCAAGTTTTATTTTGAGAGTGACATTAGTTTTGCACTGCGAATGAAACTCCAAGACAGGATACTCTACGGATCAAATCTAAAACGTGCAGCTCAAAACATTTTCAACAAAAGAGAAGGATACAACGAATCTTTCTTAGACTCCCTGCCTATAATGCGTGGGATATCACGTGACTTTAGGCCAATAATCTGTCAGAACAGTACAACTTACAGCAGCAAAAGTAAAGTGTCCGTTATAATCAACTATCACAACGAGTTGTTGTCTCTGTTATTACGGTCGGTGTACAGTGTTCTAGCATCAATCTCACCTCACAACTTACACGAACTGATCCTTATTGACGATGGTAGTGATCTAACTGCTTATAAGGTGAGATACTGTTATAAGGTGATCTAACTGCTTATAAGGTGAGATGGACCTGAGATCTCGGGACAATTTTAAAATTAAAACCTATTATTAGGGAATTGATAATTTAAGTTGCCCGATATAATAACAATCAAATATATACAGAGGGGGGGGGGGGGGGGCCAAAAGTCAGTATCCATACGTTGGCCTTAATAGTTCAGTCACTGAGTGCCCAATTGAAATTATTCTTTCTGGTATGATTTACTACCACCACTGGTTCGAGGAATTTGTCAAATCGAAAAATATTCGTGTTAATTTTTTTTCAAATGAAGGTTAATTTTTGCATTTATTTGATATTTTGGATCTAGTCAGATCGAGCCAAATTTTATTGAATTGTGTTTGGCCATTCGAATTACGTTTGTCCTGAAAAAATGAGAGTTGTAGCTTCTCAGATGACCTAGATACGAAGCACAACGAGTTTATTCATAATTAAGTGTGATCAGGTGATTGGCTTACCTAATCTCGTGATAGATGACCCCGTTAAACATTATGGGAATCGCTAAGGCTACCCAATTAAGGTGTCGTGTCACGGTCTCACATAATCACCCAGTAAATTTTGTTAACGAGATACACAAAATGCTTGATAGCTTCGTCATTTCTAATCCGTTTTGCCTCATCTTTTTCAGATCAGATGCAACATTTCATAATCTATCGTCTCTGAAAAGGCGTTCAGCATGTTCAAAGAGAACAACATAGGTGTTTTAATATTGAATGGGCGTGGTCTAAAATATTCGAATTTTCAAATTTTAGGGACGGAATCCTCGAACAGTATGCCATCTGCAAAACAACAACTCTCAAATATAAAACACGGCGGTGGTATAAGACCCAACGTGTGGATACTGACCTTTGCCCCCCTCCACCCCTGTAATAATATCAGATGGTAGCAGTAACTTTCCAGTTGAGTTTCAGTAAGCTCATTTATCAATCATAGTCAAATGTATCAAAATATAAACGAGCACTTATCCTCAGACTTTACCAACATTTCTCACAATCTCCAGGATCTAACGGAGGTAGAATCTCTGGTAAATCATCTTACGGTCCCAGTAAAGTTTCAACGGTTTGAAAAGAACCAAGGTTTAATCTACAGTCGGAGATATGGTTGTCTGCAAGCAACCGGAGATACGATTCTCATACTTGACAGTCATGTCGAAGTTAAACCGGGATTTTTAGAACCGTTATTGCAGGTTGTCGATGCGAATTATAAAGCGGTTGCTGCTCCAATTTTAGATTTCTGGGACACTTTTAAAAACAATTACTGGTCATTTGATCAGGCATTGGGTTTTGATAGGTACATGAATTGGATGTTTATATATCAAGAGAGTCCAAAAGACGGCAGAAACTTCAGATCACCAGCTATCATGGGAGGTGCATTTGTTGTGAAGAAGAAATTTCTAGAAGAAATAGATTACTTTGGTATGTGTATGGAGGGTTGGGGTCAAGAGAACATAGAATTGTCACTGAAAACATGGTTTTGTGGTGGAGAGGTTCTGTTTGTAACGTGCTCCCGTGTTCTCCACTTTGCAGCAAACCGCACACCATCGAGGCACGGAGACCGGATTAAACCAGCTGAGTTCTGGCATAATCAGGGGATTGTTGTTAAATCTTACTTTCCGAGCGATATTTATGAGGAGTTTGATCGTGTGCACAATATTGACAAGGATTTGGAACGATGTACAGAAACTATTGAAAGAAACAAAAAACTTCTCATAAAAAACAAATGTACTAGAAATTTTACCTGGTTGAGACGAAATCTAATGCCGAGGATGGAGTCCTACGATTCTGATACTACAGTGGCTCATACATTGACAGGTCGGAAAAAATGTGTCTCGATAGAAAAGTGGTCCGTGAACCAAGACAAAGTATGTTTAATGTACTGTAACACACAAAAATCTGTTTATGAGCGTGTGCGGCTGACAAAATGGAGGGATTTAAGAATATTTGATGGACTTTGCCTTGACTGGGGCTATGATCCTGTGAAATTCAGTACCTGTCATTACTCAGGTGGTAACCAGCTCGTGAGATATAATGTTAAAAATGGTGCTATTTCAAATGAGGGGAATAATGTTTGTTTGGGACAGTACGAGAATTCTAAAATATACCTTGATAAAGGTCCATGCAGTAAAGGAGAGGCTGAGAATGAAAGTACAGATTTCGTCGTTTTAAACTTTAGATTTCGAACTATATTTAATCAATCGTTGCTTCTCGATAACGCTTGAAAATACAAATGTATCACAGATGTAATAAACCAGTTATAGACACAATTAAACTGCAATTTCGCAAATTTTTACGATTGTCGGATTAATCATTCATGGTATTTAAACAACTTCATGTTACAATTTTATAATTGATGCAATTTTTGAATAATTGTAAAAGTTTTTTTCACTGATATTTACTAACATCAATTGACTTGGGTTTGAAAAAAGATTGAAAACTGGTGTACAAAATATCCAATGTCTCTTTACGACTGATTTTAGCATTGAGATTGGAAACCTTTCCTCCAACCCCAACAATATCATTTAATTGGTCCGGTTCACTCGCAATCCTATTTGATCCTCCCGTCACTCTAAAATCTTTCTCTTGAAGATAAAAGCCATGATTGTTTCCAAACAGAACAGCATTCAAACGATTAAGTGCACCATCTGGAGCAATACGCAGAATGTACCTGTAAAACACTAGAATCATGTCTCTGACCCAATCTGGTGAGGTGTGGACAAACCCACATTCCATTCCTGGAAACAACTTTTCAACAACAAGCTCATCTTCCAGTGTCATCCCCACAGACTGGTACGGTTCATTGTGCATGTAAGCAGCATCCTTGTTGTACATGTAATCAGTCTTTAGCAAATTTAAGTGCTGTAATTCCTCTGCGACTTGGTGTTTGGAGAGAGTTGAAACGTAGCTGATCAAAAAATGTCGTGGAGCTAAGTCGACATCCCTTTTTAGAACAACAAGCTGGTTGGATGGAACACAAACAAAAACTAAGTCTGACTGCTCAACAACCAAACGATTATTACAACAAACATGGACACCCGTCTTTGCCAGGTCGTCCAGTTTTTCAGGTTGAAAAGTGGACACTGAAATGTCATGTGGTACACAAACACCATGATGGACAAGTGTTGATATTATGTGTCTGCTCAATCTACCACCTCCAACAAATCCAATGTTCACTCTATGCTTGGACAAGCTCCCTTTTCTCAGCATGTCACCCGTGACAATGTGGTGAGTTATAGTATTGAGCATGCCAACAATATAAGTGCTCTGAGAAGCAGCATGCAGAAGCAACTCAAATGAGCGTTTCCTCAAATGAAGAAGGGAGAGCTCAGATTCATTGAGATTGGTCTGAAATTGAAGGGAAACAAGCCCATGTGTTATGTCGTCTTCAGTTACTGCTACTCCCATCTAACCTGAGATGATGGAATTAAACATGATTATACTTAATTATACATTTTTTGAGTTAATAAACTATGATGATTATAAATATATATGAATTTTACTTGATAAAGTGCTTATCTTAAAGTTAAATGTTTTTACAGGCTCTAATAATGTAGTTTTACGAATATTTCAAGCCTTACGTTGTGTGTTTCCATTCGTGTCCAAGAACATTATAATTATACATTTTTACCCTTAAAATTGATAAAGTCACAGTTTTAAGACAAAATTGAATGTTGAAATTAATTGGAACATGAAACCATGAATTGTGTATTATTTTATTGTACCATTAAATAGAATGGCACATTTTGTGTCGTGCCGATATCATCAAATAAAAGTAGACTCATGCAGGGAAACATGCTGTGCGTCAGCGAGCGTGCTAAATCACTCTACAGTCGATCTTCGAGATTGTTCTAAAAGGGCCCCCGACGGTTGTAACCAACTTCAATCGATGTATTTTCGGACGCTGATTCCGAATCACCCCCCATGACATAGGGTTAAAATGCTCCCGTGACGAGATATTGGCGAAAAACTGTCTCGATCACGTGATATGACCGTATAAGGAAGTTAGTCTAATTTCTCGTTAGGGTTAGGGTTTCAGCAGTATGCTTTTGTTAAGGATTGGGTAAGGGTTAGGGTTGGGATCAGATTAGAGGGCTAGGGTTTCGAAAAGTCGTTCAGAACCAGCTAGAGAACGGGTTGAAAAAGTCACGTGACAGTCGGGTGTAGAGTGATTAATCATCATCCGTGCGTCAGGCCAAGCAACATCTGGTAAAACTGCACTTAAAATTATTATGGTAATTAACAATTATTTCTTAATAATTGCAGCCCACAAAGCGACACATCAGTGTAGTGGCATAGCGTTGTATGTTAGCGGATTTTGGATTTTTACTCAAGGAAATCGTGGAACAATACACAATAGTTTATGGTTTAATTTTAATGCCATCATGTGCGGCCGTGTTTCAGCTATCGTCGTGCAAATTTTGCTAATATGCCAACGAAGTTAACTTGCTAAAAAGTTCAAAAACATAATTTTTAAGCCTATCTTTCGACCAAAAATCGGTTTTTGCGATTTTACCAGGGGAAACTCAGTTTAACCATTCCAAAACCATTATAAATCGACTCTAGGGTCAAAACTACGCCTAAAAATTTGTGTCTGGAGTTTGACGGATGTCATTCGAAAAAAATTTCTTCGAAGTTGCGCGCGACACTTTGTAGCACTTGATAGAGGATATAGCCGTGATAGACTGATTAAAGGCATTAAACGTTGTCTGAGGAAATATGATAACGTTTTCAGGAAGTTCGGTATTCTAGATGACCGTAACATTATTAAAGAACTCCCCTGATATCTTTTGATTTATTGAAACACGGGTACTAACTCTGCTAAACTGAACAAATTCTGAAACTTAGGTGAATAAGTGTACAACGTGCTAAACCGAAGTTCAGACTGACCAGTGAAAATGGGCGAGTGTACCAAGTGTCATTTTAATTAGAAGTTTTAGTCAGTGATTTATTATTGAAGCTTGTAATTACAATATCTAATGCTCCTATAAATACTTTAATTAATTGTTTGTCCCGTTATTCTTTTTCCTTCCTCTTTTCCTTGTCATCCCCTTTAGTTTTAAGATTCTTGCTATAAATGGCTACAGCTAACACTATTAATGCTAAGTACCAAACAACAAGTGGGAGGTGGATCGTTGGTATACCATTAAATCGATTTAACACCGCAATTCCAGTCGCAAGCCTGGGACCACTACTAGCATAGTCACAACATCTACAAAGCTGCCATATAGCCTGACTGACAATTTTCTCGACTGACTGACAATGTTTCTTCTTTTTCCCCATTTAGAATACAAAGATTAGTACATTTTAGCTTATGATTAATATTATATTTTTACCTATAGTTTACCTTTTAATTTAGTTTACCTTTTAATTTATTTATTATTGTTATTTGGTATTATGAGCTGATATGTATATATACATACGGTATCTAAAATTAAGCGTATAGCAAGCATATTTAACAATTTTTAAGCAATAATGTATTGCGAGCAGCTGAAACTTAAATATCGCATAAAAATCATATAATTATAACACAAAACTAAAATTTTATTGGAATCTAGGTTAAACTAAGATAAAATTAATATCAGCCCCTTCGCCACTCTCAGCAGTCAACCAGGGCTCATTAAAGCTTAACAGCGCCTGGGTCCGTTCACCAACTGTGCTAATGTGAGTGGCGGTGTGGTAAAACCCATTTTAACAGCGTGAATACTTATCAAATATAAGCGCGCTAGCTGCTAGCATACTTGTATCATTTAATTTTTAATCAAATTTATTCGGATATGTATTTATTGATTATGTATTGAATTGGTGATAAATAATAAAATTGTCTTTACTCAAAAAATTGTCTTTTCTCCCTAGATTGCCATCGGGCCATTTCGAGGAGAAAGCGGCGCGCGCGCTACTTCGAAGAAATTTAGACGAGTAACATCCGTCAACCGAGGCAAGTGCTATAACATAGCGCGAGCCGGGCTAATCCATTAACAATGGTCAAGTCTGAGCTGGCGTGCGCGTCCCTAGCACGCGCATCGACAATAAGAAAAGACAAGAAAAAGACAGAAGAAGAATAAGAATAAGAATAAAGCGTTTACTATATTGTTGGTTGTAGTGGCAAAAGCGGTCGCGTTATTTGATGCGGGGCAGCAGCATGCATCGTGTTACAAAAAAAGTTTGTAGTGCCTCGGGGACCCCAGGCTATTATGTTCGACATAAACGTAGTTTGGCGCATTTAAACGCTCTCAAAGGTGCAAGCAGACGCGTTTTTGCGATTTTACAATCTAACCCAGTGCGCCTATTTTGTGTAGCGTATATATATACACGTCATTGCTAGCATTCTAATTGGTAGTTAGCGTGCCACGTGTTTTTTCCGAGGATGTAATTGGTTATGAACAATTACGTGAATGCTGGTCACGCGCATCTGAATATAATAAAGATTCGGTGGAATGACAGGCTGAGCACCGCCCAGTAACTAACGTGTTGTTTTTATATTAAAATTTATGTTATGATATATGAAAGAAGTGGGTCATAGAATCGAAAATTGATTACCTTCTAAGGCGCGCGCCGAGTTGTATATAATTTTTGAAAGAAATATTTTACCGGTTTTTGGTATTGCCCGTTAAGCAATAAAATAGCAAGCTGGACAAAAATTGATCAGGTAAAATTGATCAATTGTGATTATAACTTTCTTTTTTGATCGGAATGATTTTTTACGCCAGTTTTATACCTCTTTTTAGAAAAGAAGAAAAAGTTTTATTCTTTTTTAAAGCATATTGACATTTTCATTTTGTATGGTAAACTTTGTAGGTTTATAACATACCAAAATGTACGCCGAGGTGGACCCCGGGACCCGTCAACTGTCCAACAATATTTGGAAAAAATATATTACGAGTACCACCCATTAAGGTGAGGAAAATTAGCTGTATGTTATGTTTTCGAAACAGTCTGAGTCGGAGATTTTATTTGACCGATGACTTTTGGGAGATTGGTTGTGTAAATGGAAGTAATAAAGTAAAGTAAAGTAAAGTAAAATTTATGACATCACATCATCACACATGTCTACAAACTATCATCGCACTGTGTGAAAAAATATATAATAAATATTTCCTTGATACATGTTACGTATCCCAAATATCAGAGATATATATTGCCTTCGGCGGCGCGCGCTTCGCGCGCGAAAAGTGGCATGCAACGTATGTCAAATATTTCCCCACCAACATTAATTAATTATCAAATACAATATAATTTAAAAACAATTTCATCAAAAACATCATCCTATTTAAAAAAACTTCCCAGCGGAATAAAGATTTATAAAACGCTTCTTTGCCACATAAGGATGGAACCAAAGATAATTGTTATGTTTCTCTTTATTACTGACATAACTGGCTCCCTCAATTCTTACTAAAACTTCATTAGAAACATTCCAAAAAAAGCAATCATTTGTAATACTGTTAGAAATCATATCTATCTTATATCCTTCTAATTTAATTTTAAAACCTAAAACTGTCACAGAGTTCTTGACGTCCGGAGGGAGTTTGTTCTAATATGGAATAACTCGATCCGGGAGAAAAGACTTCTGGATATTCTTGACCTTTGTCACACTTTTACTATGTATCTATTGGATGAAACCAGATTAAGACCTGATCTGCTTGGTCTGAACAAGTAATAACAAATAAAAAATCCTCCTTGAATCAAGAAAAATGCTTTTGACGAAAACTGTTTCTGCTAGTTATATAATTATTAGTGAAACAGCTAAACAGTGTATTGTGGAGGAAAGTCTCTAGGAGAGTCTTTTGGATCAAGTCCTCTACACCAATGGTGCACTCATATCAGTAACTACACTGTGCTTTCCCGATTGGCAAAAGTGATCATGCAAGTGTGTTAGTTTAAGAAATATTGATACCATTACAACTGAAAACTACGATAAGCTTTGTTTTTATTGTTTTTGTGTTATTTCAGCAGTTAAACTTTGAAAAATATACAAATAAAGGCAAAATACTCAAAAATCACATTATAATATAAAAATCAGTTTTTGCCTCTCTTGAAAACCTCGAATTTTTGACTTCAAAATCTATCTTCTAGAGTTTTATCCATTTCACCTCAAATTTGGAACTTATGTTTCTGACATAAATTTAAAAGTTTGTTATGTAACGATTGTTGTAATTTTGCTCCTAACTCTTTTTATGAGGTTAACCATTATAAATTTTGTAACCCGCACTCATGGTTAACCTCATATCTCAGCTTTGGAGCAAGATATCATAAATCGTTACATAACAAAAACTCAAAATACCTTGATGAACATTGTTGCCAAGTTACAAGGTTCTAAGTCATAAACTGAAAAAGAAGATAGATTTTGAACACGATTTCATTTAAATCGTCGTTTGAATGCGGGACAAACGCTTTTTTAGAGATTTTACCGGCGTATCCTCTAAAATCACCTAATTTGTCAAATTTTAAGGGAGAGGCACCAAAAGGGGAGGGGGCGCCAACAGGGGGGCGCCTTTTCGGCGGGGGCGCCAACAGGCAACGTTATGCCACTGTTGTAATCTCGTTTTATTTTCATCAGTTTTATTACATTTATTGTATTGGTTCATTATATATTGTTAAGGTGTCCAATGACCTGGACAAATGACCTGCTAAAATGATCTGTGTATATTTGAATGTGTAATTGCTTTCGGTTTTATTCTTACCTGTGTTTCCCCTGGCACCTCGAACGGCTTTGAGGACACTCCGAAGAAGAGATAAGGGAAGTCTTGTTCTTATAAAGCTCATATTGCTTGCCTCTTTAGTTATAATAAATCATGATGTTCTGTTAATTGTTAGTAAATAACATAAAAAGATTCAAATGGATGAAATCATTGGCCTAATTAATACACATTTTCTTGATTCTTCCATCAATATTTCAAATCTGACATATATTTCAGTTGCTTATGAAACCATTTATTCTTTTCAGATATCTATTATCCAGAAATTATTATCGTGCAGCATTAAGATAGCCATAATTGTGCCTAATGTAGTATGTCAAGTTGTCTGTTAAAAGAGAATGCCAGATAAGTTGTGAGTGGAATGGAGGCAGGTAAAAGTTTTCAACTTTATTCAATCATGTGATTCTTATAATTGTTGATTGCAAGTAGATAGTGAGGTCTGAGGATAAATGATGGACAGTAATAAATTCTCAATTGATAGGACTTTTAATAATAATCTTCAACGAGCCGTTTAATGTTCAAGGGATTTCCAACTTTTGTATTCTTTACCTTTCAAGATTTTTACAATTTTTGTTACCACTTTTGTACCCAACTTTTACCATTTTATTTTATTTAATTTATTATTATATATATTGTTTATTTCTTGTCATTTGTCTAACCTTGTAGCTGGTCAGATCAAAGTGTGTCTTGTAAATGTCAATTTAAAGAAGAAGAGATGCACAGTCTGATCAGTTACTGCATGCTTGAAGTTGTGTATTATTGGTTCTGCGTTCTCGCTTTGGAGCCCCTGTTAAGTACAAATCCACCATTGATACCTTATGGATGGAATATACTTCATTTTAGGATAGACACAGGTATTAACAGTTGAAGTGAAACATGTCAGAGCCGTCCCATAAATACATGCAGCTGTCTTCCTTATATGTTGAGATAATGTCTCCCTGATATTTATGTGGCGATGTGTCTTAATTTAGAGCTTAAATTTAGACATAAATATCATCAGCTGAACAAAGTGTACTTCAAATAGTGCCTAACAGCGAACCACAGTGCAAATCACTGGCTGAGTCTGGAAGTTCTCTAATTTTCTTATGACATTTCCATCAGCCACATTGGTGGATATGCCTTTACAGCTACTATTGGTCATTGATAATTTGTCAAGGTTATGAGCTCAGGTACTTACATGACATGTGAAGTTATCCAACTAAGTACAGTAATGACATTCCTGAACTTGTAGCTGAATCTGTCAATTGCTGTGATAGACTAGTTTGACAGTTCACTGACAATGATCTGTCATTATGTATGAAGACCTTGGTTGTTATGCCCAGTCAGATTAGGTTGTCTGCCCTAGTCGGATTAGGTTGTTTTGCTTCATTAGATTCCTTTTGGCTATGAAATGTCTGCATATATCTGATCATCATGATTTCCACTGCAGTTGTGGCAGCATTATTTTGATGGATAAGTCGAAGTCCAGTCTTTGCATACTTTATATATTTCTATTCAGCTCAATAGAGTATGGTATCAGAAATACTTATCTTTTGACTTTTTGATTTTGACCGAAAAATGATGCAATTGATGTCCATTGCCCATTTATTCCTCAACGTTTGGTCAAATGGGCTTTTGTATTCACCCAAAACTATTTTTAGCTGGATGAGGACGTTATTAAAGTAACGTAATGGAGAGTTGCTGACGTTGCTGATCCAATAGATAAAATTAGCTTTTAGAATGAACTCAGAACAATTTACTGGGGCTGCTGCTCAAACCGCAACACAGTTTGTTATTGCACAGGTTTGTGAAAATGTTACTTGTCCTTTTGATGTATCCTTCGGCTAAAAATTATGATTGAGGAATTATCCATTTCATATTTAACTACTACTACTACTACTACTACTATGTCGGAGCTAAGTCCGATCTACGCCAGAAAACCCCCTCCATATATCCCTGTCCCGCATCAGGGTTCGCAGTTCCTCTTTAGAGTTTGTCCCAACTTCCTTCAGTAACATAGACAAGTAGCTTTGTCTTGGTCGGCCTTGCTGTGCTCTACCGTGCGTAGGTTCCCATAAGACTAAATCACTGGCAAGTAGCTCAGGATGTCGGATGCAGTGTCCCGCCATTTTTAATCTCCTGCTTCGTAACTTGTTTGACAGCCTTGGGAGGCTACCATACAAAGTTATATTGCTGACCTTGTCCTTCCATGAGATACCCAGCACCATACGCAACATCTTTGTGTATGTCCCGTCCAAACTTTTCTCTTGAGCCTTTGTCAGTGTCCAGGTTTCTGATCCGTAGAGCAGTACTGATTCACAAGCCGCTATGAACAATCTAATCTTTAGGCTCTTTGAGAGTTTGGATTTCCAGATATCCTTCAGTCTATGTAGGGCACCCCACGCTTTTCCCTTTCTAACCCTTATCTCCCTATCTGTGCTCTCAATCCAGGAGCCTAAGTAGATGAAATCATCTACATTTTCTATGGCTTCCCCGGATCGACTTTGTAGGTCGCTAGATCGATCCTCCATATTCAGTGTCATGACCTTGGTCTTGCCTTCGTTTATGTGTAGTCCCACGCTTGCTGCCGCCGATTCTACTCTGAGCAGGAACTCGTTAGCCTTGTCCATGTCCTCAGATATAAGTGCTATATCATCTGCAAAGTCCACATCGGTGATGATCTTGGGCCCCACTCTTCTGCTTTTTCTACGTTCGAGGGTGAGTCCAAGTCGCTCCGCATCATCGCCTATGGCTTGCCTCATACAGTAGTCGATGACTATTGCAAAGAGGTAAGGTGCTAAGGTATCACCCTGTAACACACCTGCAAGTATCTCGAACAATTCAGTTTCTCCGTCTGGAGTTAGGACTTTGGCCATTGTCTTCTCGTACATGAGCCGTATAAGCTGCACGATTTTGACTGGAATGCCGTAAGCTTCTAGAATCTTTAGCATTTTCCCACGATGTACACTGTCGAAAGCCTTCTTAAAGTCTATAAATGTCAGAACAGCTGGCAGTTTCCGACTCTTGACACCCTCTATAAGACGTCTCAGTACCAATATCTGTTGAGTTGTTGACCTTCCTGGTCTGAATCCATTCTGGTTTCTACGCAGAAACCAGAATGGATTCAGACCAGGAAGGATATTTAAGGTATAAATATTTGAATCTTCTAATCATCTAACTCTCATTTGTGATTTTAACGTTATTTGTTTCTTTCAGGAGAAAATAGGATTACTGTTGGGAACAGGAGGAAAGACCTTCAAAAGAATAGGCAGTTTATTTAAAGTTCACATTCATTTAACCTCTGGACACCACCAATCTGGGGAATGGGTTTCTATTTACGGCAAGGAGGAGGATCGAGGTCGGGCGAAGGTAAAGTTTTTTTAATTGCTTTTATTATTATACTGTCGTTCATGCAGATCTACCTGCAATTTATCGAATAAGCCCAATCCGAAACTTCTATACGAATTTCTGGAGCAAAGAGGCAGTTGCGTCATTTGGCCAATATGGGCGAGGCCCTCCTGGGTTATCTCCACAATAAGATTATCTCCGGACGTTTTTCGATATTTTAAACGATTAGAAAGGTTCATGAGTAAAGTTTCAGGAGTATCTGAAAATTTGCAGTGATAATCCATGATAAAATTAATATTACGTCAATTTACACGAAATGCCAAAACTTGTTCATGTTTGGAAAACTGTTACTGAAATAGTTCTAATTTATGTGCTGGCCTGACCCGGTAATTGATCAAAGTCATTTAAACTAAGCAACATAACCAGATTGCACACTGGCTAAAATTTAGTTTTAATATTGTACCGCTATCAATTGACCATTCCAACAAGTCGTTTAAGTTGTATGCCATTCTTTCGACTTACCAGCATTGATCTGTAACGCATACTTCCGATGTTAAAATACTAATTTTAGCCTCTAATTGGAATAAAATTGGTTAAAATACACGTCATGGATAATTTTCTGTGGTTTACCGCCTAGCGCAGGGTACTTCCTCGTAGCTTGGTAATTTATATAATTTGCAGTAACGTGCATCATTTATCAGAAATAGCATTAATCAAAGTTTGAATCAATCTGAGAATTTGTAATTCGAACAAAATAAAATAGGCGACTTTATACAAGGCGTGAAGTACCATGTTGGATGATAAGATCTCTTCCATGGCCATTGGTTCTAAGTTATCATAAATTATATATGGGTCATGTTTCGGCACATTAATTGCCGTTCTTGTTGGGCCAAGCTGTTGTACATTCTGGCCGCACACTATTTCAACTGCTCAACTTATCGATTAGGTAAGTGCAATTTTGAATCAAAATGGTTGTAGGCTGTCAATCAAGATTTAAAAGTTCAGTTAATTGATCACCCTCCTCCGTCGTCAAATGTGCAATTTTAAGTAAGCGGTTAACATTAAAGCCCTCTATTCTGGCTGCAAATCAACATGAAAATTAAGAGGGTGGTGTAATTTTAGTAATCAGCCACCAACTGTATTGTCTCTGTTCAATAACGACTAATATTTTATATTGTTCTATAATATTTAATACTTTTCAGGAGTATATCATGAGCATGTGCAACCCCCTTGTGGAGGAAAAGATACCGTATTCAGCTGATCTTCACGAACATTTAGTCGGGAAGGGAGGCAAGACTCACAGATATTTGGAGAGTAATTCTAGGTAATGTGAAGAACAATTAATTCATCTGATTAAGTTAAGAGGATGGAAGAGTTTAGTTACTTTATATAGTTACTTTATAGTTATCCTCCCATAATAACGTAATGTTTTGTAAAAGTGAGCACACTGCATAGTGACATTAGTGAGCTATGACATACGTGACCTTATTTACTTACGTGACGTACGTGACCTTATTGACGTTCGTGACCTACCAGAACATTCCATGAAGCAGATAGTGGCCTTTTGTAAGAATTCTCTGTTCTTCATTGTCTTATCACATGACTGGCACCGGATCCTAACTAACCAGCTAATAACTCCAAATGTTTCAGCGCTGTGATAACATTCAGCACCTCTTGTACGGGCCCTAATGAGCACACAGCACACGTGCGAGGCAGTAAGGAGTCTGTAGCCCACGCCACCGCGCTCATCAAGGAGATCATACGCAAAACTACCGTGAGTGTACCGTATTTCGTGTTTTGTGCGCATAGTCCAAAGTGGAGGATGATAAATGATTACATTATGGTTGTCATGCAATTTGTCTGTAGAAATCTTACAGAGTAGCCGCTACATAGTGCACTGAGCAGCGGTTACTTTTGGATACTATTGGTTTCTAAGCATCCACTGGTTACAATTAGACATTTACTACTGGTTACAAAGCGTTTTAAC